AATCTACTTTCCTTTGTTTTTCATTATTAAGTTGCCAGGTTTTTTTAATCATCATTTCTCAGATAGACGCAAAATTTGTAAATATTTTTTTTCCAGTCTGTGGCTTGCCTTTTTGTGTTAACCGTGTCTTTTGAAGGCTGGAAATTTTTATCTTCTTGTCCAATTGACCAAGTTTTTCTTTTGTAACTCAAAAATCTTTGCATAAATGAAGGTTGGGGGAATTTTCTCCCGTGCTTTTGTCTACCTGTTTTGTGTTTTTGCTTGGATGTTTAGGGCTAAGATTAATTTTATTTGGCGTTTTTGTGTATATGAGAGTAAGGGATAAAGCTTACTCATTTTCCATATGTACGTATAGTTATTCCAGCACTCCCTATTTAAAACATCCTTTCCTCATTGAATTGTCTACACAATTTAAAAAAATCATTTTATTGGGGCTCTTACAGCTCTTATAACATTCCATACATCAACTGTATCAAGCATATGTGTACATATGCTGCCATTTCCAAAACATTTTCTACTTGAGCTCTTAGTATAAGCTCCTCTTTTTTCCCCTCCCTCCCCCACCCTCTCACCCTTGTGAATCCTTGATCAATGGCATATTGTTATTATTATTTCCTATCTTACACTACCAGTTGTCTCCCTTCACCCACATTTCTGTTATTCATCCCCTTTGGGGAGGGGGGCTATATATCCAACTTTGTGATGGGTTCTCCCATTCTCTCCCTTCGCCCTCCCTGACCACACCCCTATCCTCATATCATTACACCCACTACTGTTCCTGAGGAGTTTATCTGTCCTGAATTCCATGTGTAGAGATTGCTTATCTGCACCCGGTCTAGTCAGATTTGTAAGGTAGAACTGGGTCCTGGTAGTGGGGGTGGGGTGGGGAGAAAGCATTCAGGAACTAGAGGAATGATGGGTGTTTTGACAGTGCTATACTGCACCGTGGTTGAATCATCCCTTCCTTCTAACCCTTCTCCAGATGGGCTTTGGGTCTCTACTCCCATCCCCTTCATTCACATCAATACAGTTTTTAAAAATTTTAATCTTTTGATACCTGATACCTGATCCCATCGACACCTCATGATCACACGGACTGGTGTGCATCTTCTGTATTGGTTTATTTGCTTCCATGCTGGATGGCTGCTGGTTTAACTTCAAGCCTTTAAGACCTCAGATGCTTTACCTTTTGATAGCTGGGCACCATCTACTCTCTTCATCACATTGGCTTATGCACCCATTTTGTCTTCAGTGATTGTGTCGGGAAGGTGAGTATCATACAGTGCCAGGTTATTAGAACAAAGTCTTCTTGTGTTAAGGGAGGCCTTGAATAGAGGTCCAAAGTTTGTCTGCTATCTTAATACTTAACATATAAATGTATGTACATTGGTCTCTATCTCTTTCATTATCAGTAGTATATTTACATATACTATAGCTATATTTACATAATTAGCTTGCCTCCTCCTTTCTTTCCTCTATTTCCTTTCACCTTCCTCCTATCCCACTATCATGCCCACTCTCCATTGGGCTCTCAGTAATTCCTCTTAGATATATTGCACTTGATTAACACCCGCTCCCCCAGGCATTAAACACCCTACTCACCATAAACTTTAGACTTCTTATTGTTCCCTTATCCCTGAGTTTGTTGGCTCCCCACTCCCCCACCCCTCCCATGTCCCTCTGAACCGCTGGTCCCATTGTTTTCCCCTCAGGATTGTTCATCCAGCCTATCTTATGTAGATAGACATCGGGTAAAAGAAAAAGGAAAAGCAAAACCCAGCAAGAAACAAAACAAAACGATAGTTCCAGGTCTGTCTGTTGACCCTTATGTATGTATGCTTTCCATCAAGTCTGATGAGGTGCCTAGCCCTGCCCCCCAAGTCAGAAGTCTATATTCAGGATTCCTCTGGGACTTGGCTACTTTTCCCCCCTTGCTGCCCTGCTGCACTCCCTTTGTGTTTCACCCCACTGTGCATGGGGCAGACCGGGCACACTTTCCACACAGCGTCTCCAGTGCTGTCCCAGTAGTGCTATGGGTCAGTGAGGGAATGGCCTGTCTTGTGGTGGGGCCAGCCCTATGGTCCTCTCTGTGCATTGGCTGCTCTGAGTAGGGATGTCATCCCTGGGGCTTGGTGGGCCAGTATGAAGTTCTCTCTCTCTCCTTCCTTCCTTCTGAGTTCACTCCTGTGTGGTCTGGACAGACCCGCTCTCTCCCTGGACTATATCCTCAGTGCTGTCCTCTGTGTTGCTTTCTTCTGGGGAGGGGCCTAACATAGCTCAGCTTGGGCCAGATCCCATCATCCTCTCTGTTAGTTCACTGCTCCATGCCAGTGTGTTGTGTCTTGGCAATTTTGTGGCAACTATCTGCTCAAAAAATATGTTGCTTTAATTCTGGCCTCAGTTCTATTTATAGATTTAAATGTTGTCCTTAAACCAAGGCTGCCTTGTTAGACTAGCTTTCTAGTAAGTCTTGAAAACAGCCAATGGAAGTTGTCCAACTTTGTTTATCTTATCCAAAAATATTTGGGCTCTACTAGGTCCTTTATATTTTCATGTACAGTTTAGAAAGTATTTGCCAATTTCTACAAAAAGTACTTCTGGGATTTTGACTGGCATTGTCATGATTCTGTGGGTCACAATGGGGAGGAGGGACAACAATATTGAGTTTTATGATCCACGGACATGGTATATCTTTCTATTTATTTGGATTTCCTATCATTTCTCTCTTCAATATTGTCATTTTCTGAGTGCAGTTTGTCTACATGCGCTGTTAGATTTATCCTCAAATATTCCATGATTCTAACTGGTACAGTTAATGACATATTTTAAAAATTTCACCTTGTAACTGTTTGTTACCAACATGGACACACATGAACAGCTGCTTTTTTCATATTGGCTTAATATTCTGCACCCTTCCTAAATTCACTTGTCATTTCTAGTAGGGTTTTCTGCATACACAATCATAGATGAATGAAGACAGTTTGGTCTCTTCCTGCCCAGACTGAGCACCTTTTATGTCTTTACTTGCTGTGCACTGGCTAGGATCCCTGTGCAGGACTGAATGGAAGTGTGAGAGAGAGAGTACATGCCTGCTTCATTCTCGAGCTTTAGGAGAAAGAATGCAGCTTTTCACCATTGAGTGTGATGTTAGCTGTGATATCATGTTGATGCTTTTTAATCTGACCAAGGAAGTTTCCCTCTCTCCAGTTGATGAAGAGCTTTTTATTGGTCTGTTTTACAACTATGAATGGGTGGTGAAAGTTGACAATTGTATTCACTACATCTTTAGAGAAGCTACTATGACTGTTCTCCTGCTAATATGGTGAATTACGTTTATTTTCAAAGGTCAAACTATTCTGGAATAAACATCACTTAGAAGATATGATCTTTTAAAACTGTTTCTGCATTTGTCTTGCACATATATATATATGCACGAATTCTGTCCTGTGTTCATGAAGTGTATTTATCTGTGGTTTTCTGTTCTTGTGGTGTGTTTGTCTGTTTTTTGAGGGGAAGCAGATGGGAATAACATCACCCTAATAAAGTGAACAGAAAAGTAGTGTTCCCTCCTCCTTCATTTCTTGGGTAATCACTTAAAGTTACAAATTTACTCCTAAGTACTACTTTAGCTGCCTGCCATAAAATTTGAAATGTGTTTTCCTTTGAGTTTTATAAGTTTTTGTTTCATGAATCATAAAGCCCTGTTATTAGGTGTATTGAGACACACTTATTAAATATCCCTCTCTACTCATACTAACATCCTTTACCCTGAAGTGTCTTTGGTCTGATATTTATATCACCACTTTAGTTTTCTTAAGGGACTGTGCCTGGGATATAGTTTCCCATCCTTTTGCTCTAACCTAGCATACATTTATAGGTGAAGTGTATTTCTTGTCGCTGCATGGAACTGGATCTTGCTTTCTAATCCAGTATGGAAATCTCTACCATTTTGGCCACTTACATCTCATGCAATAATTAGTGAAGAACCTTGGTGGCTCTGGGGGTAAGCTTTGAAGTGCCTAACTGGGAGGTTGCTGGCTCAAATCTACCAGCTTCTCTGGGAAAAAGATGAGCCTGTCTGCTCCCATGAAGATCTACAGCCTTGGAAGCACTAGACAGGACCCCCATGGGTCAGAAACCACTCAGTGGTAGTTTTCTTTTCTTTTTTCCTAAATAGTAATTACTGATATGGTTTCAAGGGAGTGTTTTCTAACTCCTCTCTATGATTCCATCTGTTCTTGTTCTCCTTTCCTCGCTTTCATATCACCAATTAGATCAGTTGTGTATTATTACAATTCTTTTAAAAAATCTCCAGGAGACACCCCCTCAATGAAGGGTTGAGGGGAGGAGATGAGCCAATCAGGGTGCAGGGTAGCAATGATGAAGCATATAACTTTCCTCTAGTTCTTAAATGCTTCCTCCCCACTATCATGATCCCAATTCTACCTTACAAATCTGGCTAGACCAGAGGATGTACATTGGTACAGATAGCAACTAGAAACACAGGAAATCCAGGATAGATGACTCCTTCAGGACCAGCAGTGAAAGGGGTGAGGCCTGGAGGGTGAAGGGAATGTGGGGTGGAAAGGGGGAACCAATTATAAGAATCTAGGTATTTCCTTCTCCCTGGGGGAGGGAGACATCAGACAGTGTAACTTATGACAAAACTATAGTAAGTCGTGAATTATGAAGGGTTCATGAGGGAGGGGCGTGGAGAGGGAGGGGGAAAATGAGCAACTGATATTAAGGGCTGAGGTGAAGGGCAAATGGTTTGAGAATGATGAGGGCAGCAAATGTACATACGTGCTTGACACAATGGATGGATGTATGGATTGTGATGAGAATTGTACGAGCCCCAATAAAATGATTTAAAAAAAAAATCTCCAGGATTGGTTTATTAGTTATTTCTCTTTGTTTTATTGTTGATTTACTATTGTTGCTGCTCTTCATGCTGACATATGTTATCATTCGCCCTCCACTTGAAAAGTTTTCTTTTGTAAAAAAAAATGGAACAGGTCAGGAATTTGCATGTCATCCTGGTGCAGGGGCCGTCTAGTCTTCTCCGTGTCATTCCAATTTCAGTGCATGTGCTGCTGAGGTGAGCCCTTGAAAGGCTTTCTTAAGGCTGTGGGCTTGAATTTTATCCCCTTCCTCTTTTAGTGAAAGTCTTTCACCATCATTGAAAAAGGGTATTTTCAGCGGGTGCATAAGCAAATATGGTGAAGAAAGCTGATGGTGCCCGGTTATCAAAAGATTCAATGTCTGGGGTCTTAAAGGCTTGAAGGTAAACAAGTGGCCATCTAGCTGAGAAGCAACAAAGTCCACATGGAAGCACACCAGCCTATGTGATCATGAGGTGTCGATGGGATCAGGTATCAGGCACCAAAGACCCAGAACAAAAAATCATATCACTGTGAATGAGGGGAAGTACAGAGTGGAGACCCGAAGCCCATCCGTAGGCAATTTGACATCCCCTTACCGAAGGGTCACGGGGAGATGACAAGCCAGTCAGGGTGCAGTGTAGCACAGATGAAACACAACTTTCCTCTAGTTCTTTAATTCTTCCCGCCCCTCCCTACACACACACACACACACACACACACACACACACACACACAATTCCAATTCTACCTTACAAATCTGGCTAGACCAGAGGATGTACATGAGTTCAGAAAAGAGCTGGAAACACAGGGAATCCAGGACAGATAAACCCCTCAAGACCAATATTGAAAGCAGCCATACCTGGAGGGGAAGAGGAAGGTGTGGGGAGAAAGGAGAAACCAATCACAATGATCTACCTATAACCCCCTCCCAGGAGGATGGACAACAGAAAAGTGGGTGAAGGGAGACATTGGTCAGTGTAAGAAATGAAAATTTTTAAATAAATTATCAAGGGTTCATGAGGGAGGGAGGGGAAAAATGAGGAGCTGATGATACCAAAGGCTCAAGTAGAGAGAAAATGTTTTGAGAATGATGATGGAAACAAATGTACAAATGTGCTTGACACAATGGATGGATGGATGGATTGTGACAAGAGTTGTATGAGCCCCCAATAAAATACAGAATTTTAAGTTGACAGGTAGTTTTTGTTTGTTTTAAAGCATTTTAATGATGTCATTCAATTTTCTTTCTAGTTTGCTTGCTTCAGACAAAAAGTTTATGGAAATTTTTATTTGTATTCCTCTGTTTCTTATGTGTATCATCTCTTTTCTTTATCACTAGTTTAAAAGAATTTTTGATTCATAGGATTTAGCATAGGAAACAAAATGTGATGTCTTAGGGTATTTATTCATCTCCGATTTTGTTGAGTTTTTTAAAAAAAAATCTATATAGAGTTATAGGTTTCAACAAATTTGGGGGGGAAATCTGCCATTGAACTTAAAACCTTTATTCTGCCATGTTCTTGTCTTTTAAGAAATCAAATGAGGTATTCTACAGGGCAAATCTTCTGCAAAAGAGCTTCTTCAAATTTAAAAAAGCAAAGATGTCACTTTAAAAAATGAAACCAAAGGGGTGTTTGAGCCAAGCCAGGGTGTTTGCCAGCACCGTGCATGCATGTACAAGTTGGGTAGTGAAAAATGAAGATGGGAGAAGAATTGATACATACTAGCTGTTAAGTGAGCCCTGGTAGTGTGGTGAGTTGCACGTCGAGCTCGCTGCTACATGTTGTGTTAGACACTAACCACAAGGTCCACAGTTTGGTAACCCACCAGGCGCTTCACAGGAGAAAGCTGAGACTTGGTACTTTGGTGAAGATCGATAGCCTTGGAAACCCACAGGGCTAGTTCTACCCTGTCCTATAGGTTTACTCTAGGCATTGAGAATTGAGAAGAATATGTGTCTATGTGACCTGCCAAAAGAACGCACAAATCAGTTGTAGCATGACAACTGGAATTTCCTTAAAAGCAAAGATGGTAAGACTTTGTCTGGTTGGACATGTCATTAGGAGAGACTACTCAGTAGAAAAGAACATCAAGTTTGGCAAAGTAGAGGATCAATGAAAATGGATTCATACAGTTCCTACCATGAAAGAATACAAATGCCTACAGCTGTGAAAGAATTTTGTTAACAGCACGAGCCTCTCCAGGACTTCCCCCAATGTCATTTTCCAGTAAGTTTATTTATTTATTTAGATCATTTTATTGTGTTCTTGGTGAAGGTTTACACAGTACTTTAGGTTCCCCTTCAACAATCTCTATACAAGTCGTCCACATTCTTGACAATGTGTGAACATTCTCATGATTTTTCCCCCTGATTATTCTATTTCCATTAATCTAGTTTGCCTACACCCTCACATTGTTCACTTTGCTTTAAAGTAATCATTGACCATGGTCTCACACAGATGTTTTAAAATGAAAATATTTATTGTGAATGTGTGAAGGTTTACAGGGCAGAATAGATTTACATCAGTTTTGTTTCATCTCACTGATTGCAATCCTCTCAATGTTACATCACTTGTCCCACTTCCTCCCTGTGCTTCATGCTTCCTCTCAGCACTCCCCAAACCAAATTCATTGCCATTGAGTTGATGCCAACTCATAGTGACCTTGTAGGACAAGGTAGAAAGTGGAGAGCCCTGTCTTTCTCCCGAGGGGTGACTGTGGTTTTGAACTGCTGTCCTTCCAGCTAGCAGCCCAACACATAACTACTATGCCAGGACTCCTCCCTTTACCTAGACCCTGTTTTATTTTTCCTCTTTAGATAGCTTTTATTGTCTGGTTTTCCCATCATATCCATGACTCTCAATAGAGAGTCATTTTGCTTGTGGGCAAGATCTCAGGCAAACATTGGGCAAGATCTCAAGAGATTTCATCACAATTTGGGATGCTCCTGGCATCTAGAGAATCAAGTCCAGGAATGTTGCTTAAATCCTATAGTGCAAAGGTCAGCCTCCCACAATGAAGCATTATAGAAAGCCAAGTGTCAATGGCATCCAGGTTGAGAAACCAGATCTTTAAGTATAAACTCTGTGAGAATAGCATATTTTTTAACTGCTGTGCCCCAGGTCTACAACAGAGCTTAGAACATAGTAGGTGCTCAGTAACTGGTAACCAGGTAGGTATGGTCTCCCTCCTTAAGCCATAAAATCTCCAGTGACCAGAAGTCCAACCCCCTAACTGGTTTTCTGTCTAAGCCACCTCCCCTCCCCTCCCTGCTTCCCCCATTTGTTACTCCACTCTCCCAGTGGCCTGAAGTACAGTCTGGCAGATCGAGTGCCACACAGCTGCCACCTCAGACCTCTGCAGGACACTACCTGACAGATCATGTGTTACATAACCGTGACCTCCACAATAAGTGGTGTGCACTCCTGCAGAGTGAGCTCACGGTCCTTGCCATTTCCGGGACCACAGCTCTTGCCCCTCCCACCTGTGTAGTCAATGGTTGTTTGAGGCGAGGTTCTTGAGAGTTGACGGTGTGGTGGTTACAGATTAGGCTGCAATGGTTCGCAGTTTAGAACCACCAGCTACTCTGAGGGAGAAAGACTGAGGTTTCTACTCTCGTAAACAGTTAGTCTCAGAAACTCACAGGGGAATCACCATGAGTCAGCATTGACTCCACAACAGTGAGTCTGGTTTTCCTTTTTCCTTACTGTAGCTAAGCCAGTCTCTCTCAGACACAGACACACATACATGTGCATGCACACACACACACACACACACAGAAATTTTATATCAAAAAATGGCTCAAACAGTTGTTGACGTGGACAAGTCCAGTCTGAGTTCAGGCAGGCTCCAAATCAATGGGCCAGCCTTAAGTTAAGCTGGAGGCTTCTCCTAAGGAACCTAATATTGGAAGTAATGCCACATCTTGGTAGCTGCAGAGGCAAATGAATCTAAGGTGAGTAGGTCAGATGGCAGGTTAGAAGACAGGTTGCTGATGACTCCCAGGATCGACAGGCAATATGTCAGGCTGTTGGCTCAAGTCCAAAAACCAGAGGTCAATGAGTCAGATGCAGACCCCAGACCCAGCAAGAAAGGCAAACAAGCTCTTCCATAATGTCCATTTACATAGGAAGTACACAACGCACAAAGGAAGCTTCCTTCGATGGCACCAGGGCTGTGACCTGAGTAATGGGGTTGCATGCCACTCTAATCTTCTTTCAACTGATTGACTTCTCATAGCAGATCTCATTATGGAGTTGATTACACTGTGCTACATCACATTATGGGGAATTACTAGGCCTTTACTGCCAACACCACTGAGAATCTTAGCTCAGCCAAGTTGACACAAAACCCATCACAGTGGTGCACCCTCTCGAAGATCAGGCACTACATTCATTCTGTCTCACAACTGGCAACGACTGCTTCTGACACTTCTGCAGAGTCCCTGCTCCTGTTGTCTTGAAACTGCAGTGGCAACTGCTCCTCTTGTCTCTCCAGTTCAAGATGTGCTCTCCTGCTATCATTTGTGTGGTGGTGTGTCATGTTTTTCGTATTGTTATTTATTCCTCCTTCTTCCCTCCTCTTTTTAATTTTCTTTTTAATATTTCTCTTACCATGCCTTTCTGTCCCTCATTAGTGAGAAACTATCAACTCTACAAAGCTATGCCCATCAGACCTGCCACTCTACTCACTATTTGGTATCACCACCCACTCTAGGTATCACCACCCACTGGGTCATGGGTATAGGGTTGGCCAACACCCACGCAACCTGCCTTCAGCTGGTCTACCTGATCACAGATTAAAAACTTGTACCCATACCTCTACCCACTACCAAATCCACTCAGAGACAGGTGATAAGGGACCCAGTGATTCCAAACTAGCAACCAGAGTAACATGCCCACCTCATTGCCTGGATAACAAAACAAAAATCAAGGTGAAGCAAACCAGCCTAACTTCAACATATCAATGCAACTCAACATACCATCAACAAAGAACACCACAATGTCTTGGAGACTACAAATACCAAATTACACACAAAACATCAAACCATACACACGCACACACAAACAGGGTAAGATGGCTTAACACATGACCAAAATACAGGGCCAGAATAGGTTCTGGAGGAAGAAATATTTGGTAAGGAATTTAAGAATTATATTTTTTAAATGCCAGCAGATAAGAAAGCAATCACTGATCTCCAACTGCATGCAAGAGCAACGTGGA